TATAAATTAAACATTTAGCACTTTGTTTACTTGCCGATTAATTTATTTTTGCCAGTACAGAAAGCAACGTAGGTTTTATAGTATGAGCACAGTAGATTTTGCCAAGAGGGAAAATGTACAGACCATAGACTTAAATATACTATATCTAGACTGGACATGGAATTTTTTTTAACACTACAAAAAATGTCTTGAAAATATTTTAGAAAGTTGGATCAAGGCGTTGTTTTTGTTTTGTAAAGTTGTTAAAAGAAGTAAAGTTGTTTTTTTTCAACCCTAACGAGTACTCTCGTCTCATAATTATTATTTTGCAATTTTTAGATACATAATCTAGAAAGATCTATGTAATCAATCTATTTAAATGTACATAAGATGATTTAAATCAACATGAATTATTTCCATCTAGGATTTTTTAAATATTATCTCAATGGAAACAAACAGGAAATGGCTTTGTTTCATATATTTGCGAGAATATCTGAGAAATGATTTTGCGTTATTTCTTAACTTTAAAAACTAAAGATCATTACTTTTCTAAGACAGAAAAGATTGATTGGAGCGACTCCCTTAGAGCCTGAAAAAAGAGTTTACGTACATAAAAATCTATATATGTATAGGTCTGTGAATCGATCAATAGCGGATACAAATTTATTTCCGGTTTCCAGTCTAGATATAATATATAAGTCTATGGTACAGACTGTCTCTATCAAAACTGCTTTAAAAATGCTGAGGGTTATTGTAGGTTCGCAGCGTAGTGTGAATGTGGAATGGTACGAGTGCGTGTTGAAAGAGGCTGTAAGTAAAAGAAGAAAAACCGGGGGAAAAAAATGAATATAAAATTTTGTGTTTTCTAAACATTTTTTTTACGGTACTTATAAAAGTGCAAAGTCATAGTTGTATGATGTTTTTATAATGAGTCCCATGTTATCCTAACACAGAATATATCACTTCGCTACAAAATTCTTTTTTAATTTATACCGTAGGTTAGAAACACAATCTGCTGGAGGAAATTTATTCATCATTATCATCAAAATCCATTTAAGTGAGGGCTTGAGAGACTCGGATCCTTTCTTGCAAATGCCCTGTCAGAAACCCTGCTGTTTTGAGTAGTGTACAGGTCGAGAATTTTAGATTTCCCATACATGTCGTGACGGAAATCAGCAAATCTGGGGCAGTCAAAAAGAATTTTCTTCTTATTCTTCGTTCTCATTTTACATGTTGGAATGTTCAGATCAGTACCGGTAATCCTATATCTAAGATAAACCGCGCAGTGGTTTCCTGATCAGCAGTTCTCCGTTATTCTTCTATAGGAGGGTTTTGGGGCTAGAGTATTGTTCGGGCCTTTTGATTTAGTATGGAGCTTAGAAGGACACGGTCAGCATTCTCTGATGATGCGTCACAAGGGCAAGTTTCGCTAGTCCCGACTTTTAGCTTCGAAACATATGTTGTCTCATTCTGTTGTGCTCGGTGCTCGGCTATGAGTCGAAAAATTATGTGTTGGTCATGGCGTCCGTCCTTTTTCTTGTAATTGGAATGTGAGCTGATCCGATTCTCATTTATTCTACACTATTTTTTTCATCATTTATTCTGGTTAGAGAGGGATTTTCATTTGTTTGTTCATTCTTCCATCTTTGGCCAGTATGTCTGCTTTTTCATTGCCTTGTGTGCTGAAATCCATTAAAGAATAGAATTTTTTGCTGTTGATGTTAGGGTTTACAAGAGCTGTCCTGAGTTGATTTATATAGGAAGTATCCGAGTTTTTCAGGTTTTGAAGGACTTTTCTGGCATTGGTCAGTAAGACAATTTGGCTGTTTTGTGTACATGGGAAAAAGAATATGAGATACAGGATATTTATTAGAAGAGAATCTATGGGGCTAAAAAATGTGCCTTTGAGTACATCATTACTAAGCTAGCCCAGTGATTTTGTATGAAAATATTTTTAACTTGAAAAAAAAATAGAAGAATATGAAAGACTCGGGTGCATGTGAGCAGATGAAAAATTAAATCATTTGTTTTACTTAATTAAGCCACTATTTTTTATCAACAATAAAGGTAACCAATCATATCCAAAACACACCAGTCAGTATCTTAGCCCCTTTTTATTCTTACTTATTTCTTTGAACAAAGGTTCAACTGAATTTTTATTATAAAGGTTAAAAAAAATAATTCAGAGAATCACAATGGGCTGCACAATTTTAACTTTAAAAATAACTATTTGTGTTTACCAACTTACTCTTCGTACCATCTAGTTTAAATTAGTATTTCTAATATTTGATATTTTCTTTTCAAAGAAAATGTTACAGTTGAAGCTAAAAGAGTTGTACTGTTTAGAAGACAGAGAAAAAAAGCTGAAAGAAACAGTTTTGCAATCCAGAAAAGATTTACAACCAATATCAGTCTCCAGCTCAATGTCCACTGAATCGGATACCTACATTAACATTCTTAGCTTTTCTGAACAGTACCAGCCTTCCAGACTCAAATGTTACCTTTCGCCTATTGACTGTGAAGGAGAGCGAGAAAGAGATAAAATCAGCATAGGTTCATATCTAGATGAACATCTTAGTGTTGGATATACTTGGAATGATGTTTCATCCTCTTTGCTCGAGGAAAAAATTACTATTTCAAAAAATAGATCCCTTAATGATAATAATTTTATTAATAATGAATTGGAATCTGTAATTTTAAAAGACAATTTGGTGGATTCAGAAGTAGGTTCAATTAAACACATCTCTACTTGCGAACATAAAAAGGATGAACCTATTATGTACACTATAAAAGCAGAAGAAACATCTAAACAAAGGTCTACAAGCTTTCATAATGATCTTATTGGAAAAGATAACTTTTGTCAAGGGTCTTCAAATGTTTCCAATGCATATAATAATTACTCTGTAGGTGATGTTTTAGTTAACAATGTGACACTTTCTACTCATTTATAACTTAAACTAACATTAGATAGTGTTAGTGTTAAGGCCCACGAAGCGTCATCAACCGATCCACCGCCATTTTGTTTGTGTGGCGTCCGGACCGGTAGAATAGATCCCCCCCCCTTTTTTTTTTAAACCTGCACATAGTAATGCTCTCCCATTTACACTTTAAACTTGAAATTAAACGGTTCGCTATTGCTCTTGTTGTCTTTCTCTTTATATCTTTCTAACTCTTTTTTCTCCTGCTCTCTCTCCCCCTCTCTCTCCCCACTCACTCTGGAACTTCCCATATTTGCACCCTGCGCATCGTAACGCTTACCCATATAATATCCTTCTTCTCTCTTCCTCTCCTTGTTTATTTTTTTAATATCGAAAAAGTTAAAAGTCACACACACTTTTAATTGGACCTCAAAGATATTTGGTGTTTTTGAGACAAAAAAAAAATCTCAATATTATTTTGTTAATTGTCCACAATAGCGAGTTGCGCACCAAAGAATTATTGGTTTCTTGTTATTTTTATAAACTTTGTACACACGTATTCACACAATTGTTTAGATAGGTCGATTCATAGACTTATATTTACTACTTTAGACTGGACATGGAGATTTTTTAACACTACAAAAATGTCGTGAACATTTTTAGAAAGTTGGATCATGGCGTTGTTTTGTAAAGTAGTTATAAGAAGTAAAGTTGTTTTTTTCAACACTAACCTATGTAACATAATTTACTTTTAGATCTAGATCTAGTAATTGAACATCAAAAATAAGAGTACTCTCGTCTCATAATTATTATTTTGCAATTTTTAGATACATAATCTAGAAAGATTTAGGTAATCAATCTATTTAAATGTACATAAGACGATTGAAATCTACATGAATTATTTCCATCTAGGATTTTTGAAACATTATCTCAATGGAAACAAACAGGAAATAGCTTTGTCATATATTTGCGTGAATATCAGAGAAATGATTTTGCTTCATTTCTAAACTTTGAAAACTAAAGATCATTACTTTCTAAGACAAGAAAAGATTGATTGGGGCGACTCCCCTTAGAGCTTGAAAAAAAGAGTTTACGTACATAAAAATCTATATATGTATAGGTCTGTGAATCGATCAATCGCGGATACAAATTTATTTCCGGTTTCCAGTCTAGATATAATATATAAGTCTATGGGTGGATCTTTCTTTCAAGTCTAAATAGCTTGGTGTGTCCAAATAGGCCGCAGCCTTTGTTATGATGCTGCCTAGGTATGTGAACCTATCCACCTCTTTAAGCTCTTCTTACCAGGGGGGCAATACCAATTGTTAAGAAGGCCTAAACACTGTCCTGTGACGTCGCAACCTGTGAGCCGTTGTATTAAGGAAAAAGGAAGAAATTTGCTTGAAAATAAAAATACATAAATCTATTTTGTGTTTTTAAACATATGTACCGGTATTTATCCTTTATCTATAGACAGTTGTGTTTTCGGGTAAATTCCAAAAAATTAAATACGAACATTTAATGAAAAGCTTGCGATTTTTCGCGAATTGCGGCGTTCCGACTGAGAAATATCAAAACCGTTTCTTCGCGTGCCCCTTTGGGATAAAGGAAACATATGTACATTACATGTGAATCCGTGGGCAGTTACAGAGATCTCTTGATAGATGAATCAATTAATGAAACAGTCAGTGGAATTTAGGCGTTTATACACTTGATTAAATCTAGATCTAGTGTTGAAATGGGCAATGTATCAATATCTATAGATCTAAAGCCTAGATCTAGACGAGAGACCGGATCTTGTCTTAATCTAGTGAAATTTAGGATGGTTTAAAGTATCTTAAAGGTATTTAAAGGATTAGTTTTTCACTAAAAATATTTTTAAAAATCTAGTTGTCCAATATTAACAAAGCTATATGTATTTTGAAATTTTAAAAAATGTTGTTATAACTCTAAAAATACTTCTCTTAGAGGTCACCAAACAAGCTTCTTTGCGGATAAAAAAAATTAGTTATGCTACTTAGGTCATGGTTAAGGTCACGTAAATTTCAGTGATGTATTCCATACACAATTATCTTTTAAAATATACACATTAAATGAAAAACAACCTTCTTTTGTAGCAGATTTAAACTATTTTCTAACCTGCATATAAAATTTAAAATATAGACTTAAGCACCGTTAAATAAGATGATCATGGTAGAAATAAGCTTCATCAATACATAATACAAAATTGTAGGTTTCTTTAGTACAAAGTTTATCTTATCCAGTTTTCTTATCGCTTGTTGAGCAAAGCTAATATAAATTCACTCTGTCTGGTAAAAAGTGTGTACACGATATTTCTCCCACACCCATTCTTGGATCAAGTTAAAACTTTGCACAATTATTCATTGTCATAGACAAGACTTTAAAAAACAACAATTAGTCAATTAATTATTAGTTACCAACATGGGAAATTAATACTTCAGTATTCACAGATACTTATAAATATTTAGGATTTCGTCCTCTTAGATAATTGAACACGTTATTTCTCTCGTACCATTACTTTAAAAAAATTATTTATTGTACCTAACAAAACATGAGCAAAAAAAAAAAAAAAGCTCTGCGTTTACAACTATATCTTCAAAAACTTAGATGTTGTTTCCCTTATTCGATAAAAAAAAAATCTTTCTCTTTCCTTAGATAAGCTTTGTTGATGTTTTTTTAAAGCTTTTTATTTTTTCATATTTTGCTAGTATGATTATCATTTTTTACTTTATTTATTGTTTTATAAATTTGCTTAAACAGAAACATCATCGATATGTTTAGCTTTTATGCTTTGTTTTTTTCATGTACTGTTTTTGTGCTTGTTCAGCTTCTTTTTTATTTATTCACTGAACTCTTTTTTTCAACAAGGAATTGAATGCTTTGCTGTCATATCATAATACAATGAGGAACAAATAAAATAAATAAAGCACCCAATTTCTTTTCTTGAGAGTTGTGTTGCTCTTATTATAAGTAAAGTTTACTGCAGGTTAGAGTTGAATATTGTAACAACTCTCACTATCCAGACTTTCGGCAAACTACTACACACGACACTACCAATTCAAAGAACTTGACAAATTAGCGCTCCAGAATAACGTATGATTACAACCAATACTGTACAATTAGCAACACTGACTGTACAATGTTTTCTCCGTTAACATCTGAGAGACGACCCGCGTTTATCGCTTGTATCTGTAACTTGTTTGGTGACTAATGGATGATTGTTTGAGTGTGTTGTATGCTGGGTCATCAAAGATAAATCGGAAACAGGCTTGCAACAAACAGACAATAGAGAAAGATACAATAATTAATACTTTATAAGATGTTTATTTACATAAAAGATAGAGAAAATAAAGGGGAGGGGATTGCATCATATCCCTTAATTGAGATATTTAATCATCACTCTTAGCACATGTATGAGAGAATGTCACTTTGTCATGCAACATGTCTTTGAATCCTGTCGTAGCTGGCTACGCTCCTTGGTGGAGGGCTTGCAGCTGAAGTTGGCGCTCTAGCGGCTAGAGGGTCGCCGGTGACTCAGTGTCAATCCAAAGTCACTGAAGTCTGTTGTGGGCACAGTAGTACGGGTGGCAGACTAGCGTCGGCACGAAGAGTACCTGTACTATAGGCAGAGTTTATCTAACATGGGTAGTATTATCAACAGGATAAGTAGTAGTGGCTAGCATACATGGGCGTATACGAAGCAAGTAGTACTTCAAGTAGCATCGAGTAAGCAGACACATGACACACTCATACAAGTTAGGTCACATCTCTCATGCATCTTATCGATGCCCTCGATTGTTTTTGTGGCCTACGGTTAACGAGGGTGTCATGTAGCCAACACTACGAACAACCGCCTTTACTTTTCCCCAACTAATGTCAGGTACCCATTAGAGCTGGGTGGACTCAGAGGCGCCCAAAGATTCTGATGTTAAAAATCCCAGTCTTCACCAGGATTCGAACCCGGGACCCCCGGTTCGGAAGCCAAGCGCTTTACCGCTCAGCTACCGCGCCTCCCCTGGCCTAATTGAAGTGTTATAATTGATGTAATTGATTTTAAAAGGCCCAATCTCTTATTTGAATCCTAAAATAATATTATGCATTTGGTACATATAAGATATGTTCAAGTAAATGCAATTTACAAGATTACTATTCGTTTTAAATTAGGTCTAACTTATAATGTATATTAAATAGCTTTTTCTCTTTGAAAAAAATGCTTGCATAAGCGATTTCAAAAATTTGATTTTTCGCTTTCAGAAAAAAAAGCCGTTGCATCAGAACTTTGAATGGTCTAAAATATTGTGATGTCGGATTTTCACTATCTTTTCTAGTTTACGAGATCTAAACGGGACGGACGGACAGACATTTCACACAAAACTAATAGCGTCTTTTCCCCTTTCGGGGGCCGCTAAAGATAAAATGGAAGAAAGACTTAAATTATAGCGTTAATATTCTTAAGAAGGATTCATCATATCATTTTTGGCATACGCTGCCGATTCTTTTGTTGTATCCATAAACTTCAAAAAAAAAAAAATAACTTAAGTCATGTTCCAGAATTCACCCAATAAAACCTACTCAAATACACCGATAAATGGACATCCTCTCAACGTGGTAAATCAATGGTAAACCACTTCACATATCTAGGAAGCATGGTATCGAATGACGCATCGTTTTCAAAGAAAGTTGATAACCGTCTGGCCCTGGCCAGTAGTGCTTTTGGATGCCTCCAAGCAAGAGTTTTGCGAATTAATCGCTCCGCTTGCCTACATAAATCATTGTCTACCAAGCAGTGGTGTTACTGAAATCAATTGTGAATATTCGTTAGTTATGAATCTCACTGTCTATTTAGTGTCTGTTCTAGTTTCTTAATGTTTTCTTGAGTTAAGGGGTCGTGTTTTTTCTTAATGTTTATGCCTGATTTCTGTTATGAGCCGTTGTGAGACATTGGTCCAAAATAATGCCAAGCTTATTAATATAAAAAAAATCGCATTTGAATATATGAATGAACTTGTTTTAGACGAAGTCCATTAATTATAGTTGCTTTGAAAATTGATCTCACACATGCCATGGGCATTGTCATCACTGGCGGATCCGGGGGGGGGGGGGGGGTCGGTAGGGGCGAATGCCCCCCCCCCCCCTTCTCGGCCCACTCCCGACGAATTTTAGTATAGAAGTCACACAATTTGTATACGAATTTATTACTTATGTTAATAATATATACTAATTATTTTTAAACTATTTTAAACTATTTTTAGATTATTTCGCCCCCCCCCTCTCTGGTATGTTGGCCGATTTGGTGGGGTCGGGAGGGGGCGATAGCATCAATCTGCACCCCCCCCCCAAACCATAAACTCTTTTGAGTGGGGGGGCGGTCCAATTTATTTGTAGAAATCACAGCTTGCTAAAAGAATCAATTAAATATCTATATGATTAAAACTTGTTATTGATATTTTAACCGATCTTTATATTATGTCGGAGGTTGAAAACATTCAGCTTTTTTTCCTGCCATGAGTAGGCTGACCATGTTTCATTTCCGTACAGCAAGGTGCTCAACACACAGGTCCGGTAGAATAGGGCTTTAGTACTGCTAGTCAGCAATATGTTGTCCCAGACTCTTTTCTGCAACCGTGACATGGTGGCCATTGCCTTAGGCGGATCTTTAAAAAAAAGGTGGCAAGATAAGCTAACCAATGAGGAAGTGCTACAAAGAGCGGGATGCAAGGACATCCGCTCTGTTATCAGCAGCAGACGCCTTGGCTGGCTTGGCCACGTTCGTAGAATGCCAGTAGGTCGACTTCCACAGGACATCCTGTATGGCGATCTAATAAAAGGCAGGATAGCCGACTTTTACGTTATACGGATGTATGCAAACGCGACATGAAGCTCTTCAAAATCGACACTGGCAACTGGGAAGATCCACATGGAGAGAGAGCATAAAGGAAGGGTCACAGATTGCAGATGTCATACACAACAGAAGCAGAAAGAAGGGTGAAAATGCAACGACGCCTGGTGATTATATATGCCCAAACAACGATCGCAGCTGTGTATCAAGGATTAGCCTCTTTAGTCACACAAGAAGTTGCAAAGGGAAAAGATCGTCCCTCGAGACGTAAAATGTTACAGATATTATGTTGTTCCCCTGTTGTCCGATTGGTGTGGGGGGGGGGGGGGCGAAACCTCTACTGCCTAGTTTGTGAACAAGATTAGTTGAATTGATTTATAAATTTGATATTATGTCGCTCCCCTTCTGGTATCTTGGCCGATTCGGTGGGGTAAGGGGGGGGGCGATTGCATGTACTGCCCTCCCCGCTCTAGCCCTCTGAGTGGGGAGTGGTCCTATTTTTATGGAGGAATCATAGTTTGTGAACAAAAATAGTTGAATATCTATATAATTGATATGTGAAACCATTTGTATATTATGTCGCACCACACTCTAATCTCAAATTTTATGATTAATAAATATAAAAGGAAAAAGGTGGGAGGGGCGATACATGCCATCTCCTTTCCCTCATCGGACAAAGCAATACTTTTTCTTTTTGTATTATAGTTAAGAAATTAAAAAATGTAAAAAAAATCAGCCACTAATAAAATTTATATATGCTATAAATTAAATTCTTATATCGAGTCGCCCCACCCTTATTTTTAAATGCCAAAATGTTATCATTAGCAGAAATTATAAAAAGGAGCGAGGATAAATCGTTGTCATTCTACCGCCCCACCCATTTCCAGACAGAGTTTATGTAATTTCACATGAATTTATCATAATTATTTTAAGAAAGACTTTGCTTTGGAAAATTTAGAATTGAAACAAAAATTTTCAGTATAAGAGTCACGATTGAGATGAGTAGCCTTTTTTCCAACCTTTACTCAAACTAATATTTTTCTAGTTAAATTTGGGACTATAACTCACAATTTATGCTTGAATTTTATTGAATATTATTTATCGAATTTTTTTTTCGGCGGCGATCCTCAAATATGTGATCTTTTCAAGGAACAAATCGGTTTTATTTGCAATGTATTAAGGGCGTATAAATTCAAATTAGAATATTTTTCAAGTACAACAAATTCAAAAGGTTTTAATAGGATGAATAACGAGCTTTAGGTAAGGAGAATGCGTTTCTTCAGTGAAGAATGCAAGAAAACGCTTCTAGCGTCGGGGCTTCGCCCCGAAACTCACTGATGAATAGTGAGCTGTAGTTGTCAGGAGCAGGCGTTTCTGCAGTGAAAAATGCAAGAAAACGCTTTTGGCGTCCATTGAAGGATAAAGAGCTGTAGATGTCAGGAGAATGCGTTTCTATAGTGAAGAATGCAAGAAAATACTGAGAAATACTGCTTATTTATTCTTATATATGTATATATATATATATATATGTATGCTGTACTCAGGTTTATGCATAGGGTTAGGGTTTACTGTGCGTTAGGGCTAGGGTTTGGAAAAAAATCGCCCCCCCCCCCACTCTAAAGTTCTGGATCCGCTAGTGATTGTCATAATAGTTAATAATAATCTTTATTGTCCATAGGGAAATTTGTCTTACAATTTGTGCAAACACCAAACAAAAAACATTATAACTATAAGAAACCAAAGTGTACATTCACACCAGACGCACTCATAATTTACATGTGACAAAGTTTATATCAGATTGTTCTTATTTAATTATTTGATTGCCAGGGGAACAAAAGAGTGTTTGTGTCTGTTTGCCATCGGTGTCTTGTATCTCTTTTGTGATGGTAAAATCACAAAATCCTGACACAAAGGGTGATTCTTTATTTCGAGGATCTTGTTAGCTTTGTTATAGATGTTTGTCTCAAACAACTGCCCAAATAGGTTTATAAAATCTAGTTAGAATCTGTAATTTATATAATAAATATTCAAGTCGAAAACGATCAAATACTTACTATTGTAACTATAGAATCAGTAGGTCTCATAGATCTACTACTAGAATATA